ATTTTTGCAAAATAAATTTGTTACCATTTTTTCATTAATGACTTCCCTGTGCTTCTGATATTTTTTGGCTCGGTCCCTCACAAGGGCAGAACATCGAGCTGTGTGCTATGATTGTCTCGTTCTCATTTTTGCAAAGACAAATAAAATGCTGACAGGAAGAAGTGCCTTGTTTAACTGGATTGCATATCTTAATACTTTTTTCCTACGGTGGTTCAGCGATGCAAAATGAAAGAGATGCAGCTGCTGCAGAGCTTCACTCACCGTCGCAGGTCTCTGTGGTGCAGCTGAACGCGCCGCCTCGACAAACGCTGCAGGGGTTAAAAACATGTTAGTGACTAAACACAGGAAGAGTCAACCTCATTTACTCCTTAGTTTATATACAGAACTGAATGATTCTTTAGTGCATTTATCACACTGGAAAAAATCAAAATCTGGAAAAGTCATTATTTCTTAAAATAAGCGCATTTGTTCTTGAATTTAGATGGTAAAGGGACATTTTGCCAATGGAACAAGATAATTTGGCCTTAAAATAAGAAAACACAATTGCATTGTCTTATTTCAAGTGCATTTGATCTAAATATCTTATTTTAGGAGTAAAAATACTCATTCCATTGGCAAATCATCTCATTTACCTTCTCAAATTAAGGGTAAATACACTTAATTTGAGAAATTTTTACTTCATTCTAGAAAATCTTTCCAGTGCATGACCTAAAAGATGTGATTGCAGTTATATTCCTCAGCAGTTTGGAGCTTAATTTGCTTTAAGACAACAGTAAAATATGTTGTTTTTTCTGTTAACCTAAAGGAAAACAGAGAACATTTTAAAGCAGTGATGTAAAACAGTATTTCTTCTCAGAATCAATGTTTGCAGTTAATGATTTTCTTTAAATATTCACCTACTCCTGAAAAATAAAAGTATAAAAAATATATAAAAGTCCTCATTTCCAATATTATTTTTAAAGGTTGAAAATTAAACATTTTTATTCAAAACTCTTCATGTTTCTAAAAAATAATAATAAATCAACAGAGTGTCTAGATTGGTGCAAAATACAAGTAGAAATTTTGTGGAAGAAAAATGTTTTTAGAAATTCTGATGAGTGCAAAATACATAAGTTATGTTGTTTCTTTCTTTACATTACGCTCTATTTACTAGACCAAAGAACTGAATGATTCTTTTAATGCATTTATCATGACCTAAAACATGAGATTTCAGCTATTGCTTCAGTCTAAAGTAGTTTGGAGTTTAATGCGCTTTAAGGCAACAGTGATAAAGTTGTTGCTCAAAGATGGAGATGAAAATTTTGCTTTTTTTTTTAACCTAAAGGCAAATAAAAGATATTTTAATGCAGTGATGTAAGAAAACATGTCTTCTCAGAATCCATGTTTACGGTTAATGATTTTCTTTAGATATTCACCTTCTTCTGAAAAATAAACTAAAAGTCCTCGTTTCCAAGATTATTTTTAAAGGTTGTAAATAAAAGTTTTTTAATCAAAACTCTTCATGTTTCCAAAAAATAATAATAAATCAACAGAGTGTCTAGATTGGTGCAAAATACAAGTAGAAATTTTGTGGAAGAAAAATTTTTCTAGAAAATGTTTTATACATTCTGATGAGTGCAAAATACATAAGTTATATTATTTATTTCTTTAGATTACGCTCTATATACTAGACTAAAGAACTGAATGTTTTTTTTTTCAGTGCATTTATCATGACCTAAAACATGAGATTGCAGCTATTGCTTCAGTCTAAAGTAGTTTGGAGTTTAATGCGCTTTAAGGCAACAGTGATAAAGTTGTTGCTTAAAGATGGAGATAAAAATGCTGTTTTTAAACCAAAAGGTAAATAAAGGACATTTTAATGCAGTGATGTAAGAAAACATGTCTTCTCAGAATCCATTTTTGCAGTTAATGTTTTTCTTTAAATATTCACCTACTCCTTAAAAAAAAAAAAAACTAAAAGTCTTCTTTTCCCAGAAGATAATTTATTTTTAGAGGTCATAACTAAAACCTTTTCTTTAAAACACTTAATTTTTCTAAAATAATAAATCCACAGTTCGTCTAGTTTGGTGCAAAATAAAAGTAGAACTTTTGTGGGAAAAAAGTAATTATAAAAAAATGTTTTTATAAATTCTGATGGGTGCAAAATATATAAATTATGTTGTTGTTTCTTTCTTTAGATTACGCAATATATACTATAAGGTTAACAGAAAAAACTAGATTTATATTAACATCTAAAGCAGAAAAAGTTAGCTCCCGGAAAAAGCGTAGGATCCTATTTCCGGCAGAGACGAGTGATAAAACAGGATTTAAATAGATTTATTTTCTTTCATGGATAAAGAGAAATCCAACATGAAGGTGTGAACCATAATCTTTATATTTAATAGTGTCTTAATTTTTTCATGTGACTGTAAAGGTTCCTTTTTGGAACGCTGTTGTGTCCAATCAGCTTACCATGTGTTGCACTGGTGCTGAATGGAGGTTCCAGGCTGCAGGACAACCTCACTGCTCATGTTCCAGCTCTGGAACTCAGTCGGCAGAGACAGTGATGAACAGGGGCAGTCAGTGTGAGGCACACAGGAGCCTTCGTACAAGACCTACGGAGGACACAGTGAGACGGCTGCAGACGGAGACAAAGGAGTTGGATAAAACACACAAAGAGAGGGATGTCCACACCTGCCCAGGAGGACAGGAACAGCCTGGAGAGCAAGGTGCAGGTAAACACTGGGTGTGCGGCCACAGGTCCTCGCATGTGTAAGGACAAGAAGCTGAACAGTTGGTGAACACCTGCCTGCTGGGACACTCTGCAACGCACAGAACAGGACAGCAAGTGTAGCTGAGTTTGGTTGTTTATAACTGGATGGAGCAGCCTTGGAGAAAGATTCCCACTATTTGATTGTGAATCGTTATATCTATTTGAAAAGATCAGCATAAACATCCCCACAGCATGATGCTACCACCTCTGTGTTTCACAGTGGATACAACTGTAACGATCTTGGTTCTGTTGTTTTTCTCTAAGTTTTCAGTTTCAGGTTTTTCCTTGTTTTCTAGCTTTATTGGTGTCTGGATTCATTTAAGTTGCTTAGGTTTTTCTGTCTGTCCTCTGCTGCCCCCTTGTGTTCTTTTCCCTTGGTTTCCTCATCAGCTCTGCTCACACCTGCTCCTTATCAGCTCGTTAGTCCTACCTTTGTTCAGTCAGCCATAAATACAATCCCTCTGCAGTCCCTCTTTGCTGGTTCCTCGTCTTATTTCATCCTACCCTGGCTCCTCATGACTTTTCCCCTGATGTCTCCATGGTCCTGGTTAGTGTTCAATTCTTAAGTTGGATTTTTGGATTCCTGTTTTTGCTGCCTGATTTTTCATTAAACCTTCCAAGATCTCACCCCCTGCCTCTCAGCTTCTGCTTTTGGGTCCTAACAAAAACCTTAAAACTAGTGATGGTGAGATGAAGCCTCATGAGGCATTGAACCGTTTGGCCAAATTGCTTCAACGAGCCCCACAGTTCATGAGGCTTCATGTGAACATGTCACCACCTACTGGTGGAAAGCAGAACTACAGTTTGAAATAAAATCTGTTTTTCTTTTTCTTCCCCTTTTAAGTTCCCTTGAAATTGTTAATGGTTGTTGTGTATAATAAAATCTTTTGTAAGTTTTTTTTTAAGTGTAAAATTTCTTAGAACAATCATTTAAGGTGCACAGTTTTTCTGTCATTTTAGTGAAATAAACTAAAACAGACAGTGAAAGTGTTTGCACAAATTGGGCAATGATGAGCGAAATGAAAGGTGTTAGTCATTTTTATTCAAACATAATAGTTTTTCCACGTTTTTTGGTTTTAATCAGGTTGGAAGTTGTGTTCAACTAAACTTTTTGCTAAACTGATCTAATTTACCCAATCTATATTTTTACCAACTTTTTAAAAACTTTTTCTCTTTTCCCTTGTGGTCCACAAAGGAGCTGAAAAAGCATGGTAAAACATGAAGATTTTAAACCATACATTTTTTTTACATTACATTAACAACAAAAAAATCTAAATGGAACAAAAATTGGAACAGATTTGTCGCTAGTTGCTTTTTTGAAAAAGAGTCGCAGGAGGGGTCTGAAAAGTCGCTAATTATAGCGACAAAGTCGCTGAGTTGGCATCACTGCAGAGACTACGACTGAGCCTAATGTGCCATTTTTATCTTCCTTTTGTTAAAAGGTAGTATGCAAACAACCTTCAGGCTCTTTACTGCCACCCACTGGTAAAGGAGTGCAATGGCTTTGCACGGAGTTGCAGCTTTGCACTTGTAAGTTAATTTGATTTGCATCCATGTATTTTTGATATCTACTTGTCGATATGCAATTTAAACTTTCTTCTCCTTAAAGGAATAGTACACCCAAAACATGATTAGCCTTCATTTTCTACTCACCCCCATGCTGAACAACACTCTGGAGTACTTTTTT